AGTATGGTGAAAGGAAACAACCCAGACGCACTCCCTTCTTGATTTTAAACCATGCAGTATCCCCTTGTTCTGTTTGAATGATAGCTTCCCAATCTATGTACAGGTTCCTCATGAGTACAATTAAGCGTTCTGGAATTTTCATTCTTCAGTGTTATCCACAATTTGTTGCAAACCACAAAATTGAATGCCTTTGCATAGTCAATAAAATACAAACGAATACCTTTCTGGTATTCTTTGCTTTGACCCAAGATCCATCTGACCTCAGCTGTGATATCCCTTATTCCACGTCCCCATCTGAATCCAGCTTGCATTTCTGGAAGTTCTCTGTCAATATGCTGATGCAACCATTTTTGAATTCTCTTCAGTAAGATTTTAATTGCATGTGATATCAATGATATTGCTTGATAATTTCCACATTCTGTGGATTCACCCTTCTTTGGGATGGGTACAAATATGGATCTCTTCCAGTCAGTTGGCCAAGTAGCTGTCTTCCAAATCTCTTGGCATTACCAAGTGAGTGCCTCCAGCATGGCATCTCTTTGTTCAAATATCTCAATGGGTATTCCATCAATTCCTCGAACCTTGTTCTTCACCAATTCCTTCGTTGCAGCTTCGACGTCTTCCTTCAGTACCATTGGTTTTGATTATATGCTACCTCCTGAAATGGATAATCATCTACCAATTCTTTTTGGTACAATGACTCTGCGTATTCCATCTATCTTCTTTTGATGTTTCCTGCATCATTCAACATATTGCCCATGGGATCTTTCAATACTGCAATTGGAGGCTCAAATTTTTTCCTCAGTTCTTTCAGCTTGAGAAACACTGTACGTGTTCTTCCCTTTCAGTTTTCTAACTCTAGCTCTTTGCACATTTCATTATAATAATTGACTTTGTCTTCTGGAGCTGCTCTTTGAAATCCTCTGTTCAGCTCTTTTATGCTATCGATTCTTCTATTTGCTTTAGCTACTCTCCATTCAAGGGCAAGATTCAGAGTCTCTTCTGATATCCAGTTTGGTTTTTTCTTTCTTTCTTGTCTTTTTAATGACCTTTGCTTTCTTCATGAATCATGCTCTTGATGTCATCCCCAATTCCTCTAGTTTTGTTCATTGGTGTTCAGTGCATCAAATCTATTCTTTAGATGGTCTCCAAATTCAAGAGGGATATAATCAAGGTCATATTTTGGCTCTTGTGGACTTGTTTTGTCTCCAGGTTCAACGTGAACTTGCATATAAGTAGTTGATGGTTTATTCCACAATCAGCTCCTGGCCTTGTTTTGGCTGAAGATATTGAGTTTTTCCATTGCCTCTTGCCACAGATGCAGTTAATCTGATTCCTGTGTATTCCATCTGGTGAAGTCCATGTGTACAGCCATGATTTGTGTTGTTGAAAAAAGGTATTTGTGATGAATAAGTTGTTGGTCTTGCAAAATTCTATCATGCAATCTCCAGCATCATTTCTATCACCAAGGCAATATTTTCCAACTACCAGTGACTCTTCTTTGTTTCCAACTTTTGCATTCCAATCACCAGTGATAATTAACACATCTTGATTTCATGTTCAGTCAATTTCAGACTCCAGAAGTTGGTAAAAAAATCTTCAATTTCCTCATTTTGGCTTTTGTAGTTGGTGCATAAATTTGAATAATAGTAGTATTAACTGGTCTCCCTCGTAGGCATAAGGCTATTATCCTATCACTGACAGCATTGTCTTTCAGGATAGATCTCAATACATTCTTTGTGATAATGAATGGTATGCCATTCTTCTTCAATTTGTCATTCCCAGCATAGTAGACCATATGATCATCTGATTCAAAATGGCCAAAACCAGTCCATTTCAGTTTACAAATGCCTAATGATCTTTATGTATTCCATTTCATTTTAGACAACTTCCAATTTTCCTCAATTCATACTTCATACATTCCATGTTCTGATTATTAATGGATGTTTACAGCTGTTTCTTCTCATTTTGAGTCATGCCACATCAGCAAATGGAGGTCTCAAAAGCTTTACTCTATCCACATCACTAAGGTTGGCTCTACCCTGAGGAGTCAGCTCTTACCCAGTCAAATTCTGAGCACCTTCCAACCTGATGGGCTCTTCTTCTGGCACTATATCGGACAATATTTCAGGGCTATTCATAAAGTTTTCCAGTAATATATCACACAGCGTGTCCATGCTATTCATAAGGTTTTCACTGGCCAGTTCTTTGAGAAGTGGATGGCCTCTTCCTTCTTACAAGTTTGTCTTAGTCTGGAAACTCTGCTGAAACCTGTCCACCATGGCTAACCCTGCTGGCATTCGAAATACCAGTGGCATAGCCTCCAGCCTTACAGCAACACTCTAGCCACCACAGTACAACAAACTGACAGACATGTTTGTCTCCCTTAGCTATTCCAAACTGCTCCGGTCATTTTCTGGTCTCCCCCACTCTGCTCGCTTACCTGGCCTGCCCCTGGGCGCTCCACACATGCAAACACCTGCCTTCCACTGCTCCCAGGCTGGCTTACTGCAACCTGCCCCTGAGGTGCTCCACACAGGTAAACACCCACCTTCTGCTGCTCCCAGGTGAATTGGTGGATACATGATAACTATCTACCATCCCTGGAGGAGGCTATTAGTTACAAGTTAGGAAAACTTAATCCCCCTACTCCCGGTGGGTTGTAAGCACCAAGGTATGCTGGTGAGGACACAAAGAGAGTGGATACTGACCTGCGTAGCTCCGCCCTGTACTCATGTTGGTTGGCAGCAGTGTCCACTTGTCCGTGATGGGATTGTAGTACTCCACTGAAGCCAAGTTGCAGGATCCATCATCACCTCCAACCACATACAGGAGCCCATTCACTGCACAGACCCCTGGGAATCAACAGAAGGCACAGCAGACATTATAACAGGAGCTCTGAGGACAGGAATCGATGAGAAACAAAACAGGATGGCTCTGGAGGTTCTTTCCCTTCCTTTTGTGGAACACAACAGAGTGTTGGCTCCACAGGTCTGAGTTTACTCAATGGAAGAACGTACTGACAGCAGCCCCTGGGTTCTAGAGGACTCCCTTTCTAACAAGGTCACTGCTCTGACCTAGAGACTTCTTCTACTACATGATCCCACAGATGTTTCCTGCTCCCCCAACCCCTTGTGGTACGGTGTCTAAGGAATTCAGCTGCTAAACAAAGGATTGGTGGTTAGAACCCACCAGCTGCTCAGTGGGAGAAAGATGAGGCAGTCTGTTTACATGAAGATTTACAGCCTTGGAAACCTTATGGGGCTGTTCCACTCTGTCCTATAGGGTTGTTATGAGACTTGACTCGATGGCAGTGGGTTTTTAGAGATGCTCTCTGCTCCACCCCCATCCACCCACAGACTCTACAAAAATAGGTGTGGGCTCTCTTTACTGGAACATGCATAACAGTACAAGCAGACCCCACAACCAGCTTATTGAGCCACGCAATAAGACAATTCAGGGACTCAGTAACACTACTACCTCCCTGCTTCTAAGATTTTTTTTCCCCCATTAAACCCAATGTTATCTGTATTGTGTGGCACCAACAAGGTGTTTGTGATCCCTTTACACAAATGGAGTCTAAATACATGCATAATTCCAGGGTTGAGGTACCACTCTCACACTGACACAGGAGTGAACTGTTTTGGGGGCAAAGTCTAACGCAGTAAGGACTCAACAGTGAAGAGAACATAATTAATGCTCATCAAGATGTGAAAGGCCAGAAACCAGTTGGCGATGGAGTCAATTTTGACTCACGGAAACTCCATGTGTGTCAGAATAGAATTGATTCTACTCTGAAAATCTGGCTGATTTTTCAGAAGTAGATCATCAGCCCTTCCTTCTGAACTGCCAGACCTTCAGTTGGCAGCCAAACGTCTGTGCCGTTTGCACCACCCAGAGACATCTTTAAAGGCCATAGTCCAATATATTGTGCAGTTTTTCAAAATTAGATTAAGGGACTGATGACACTAGAAAAAAAAGTAATAATTATCAGTGTTGGTGACAATGTGGGGAAATGCCTACCCCCAGGTCCTGGGGAGTGTATAAGGTAGACTCCCTTCCTGGGTGATCTCTAAAGCACATGTGCTCCCTCTAACCCAAAAGTTCCGCTTGTGGGTTTTTATCCTAGAGGAATTATTTAAAATGTGTGCACAGACTTAGCCATAGGGACCATTTATAATAACCAAGGCACTGTTTACAGTAAAGATGGAAACAGTAGATTAATTATTTAAATTATGATATAACCATTTAAAATAATATCACATAAAAATATTTAGTGTTATAAAAAGATATTCATGAAGACTATAAAGTGGATTTTTTAAAAAGCAAGCTATAAAATAGTAGTATAGCATAATTCCATTTTTATTAAAAACAGAAATATCTGTACATGAAGGTATATATATATATACACACACACATACATATTTGTTGTTGTTATGTGCCATTGAGTCAGCCCTGACTCATAGCAACACCTCCTTGGGTTTCCGAGGCTGTATCACTACGGAAGTAGATTGCCCCATCTTCCTTCTGAGGAGTGGCTGGTGGGTTTGAACCACCAGCCTTCTGGTTAGTAGTCAAGTGCCTTAGGCACTATGCTACCAGAGCTCCTACATACATACATACATACATACATACATATATATATATATATATATATATATATTTAGATTAGATCTAGATCTAGATCTAAACTTAAATCTCTAGAGAGACTAGCTGCCTTGAGGATTCTGTAATTCCTTAGTCATGTGGCTTAAGGACAAATGCCAGGTTACATCCCAGAAGACTTGTTGTTGTTGTTAAGTGCTGTCGAGTCATTTCCGACTCATAACGACCCCATGCACAGCAGAACGAAACACTGCCCGATCCCACGCCAGCTCCACAATCCCTGCTATACCTGAGCCCATCATCACAGCCACCATGTCAATCCATCTCGTTGAAGACCTCCCACTCTTTCGTCAACCCTCCACCCTACCAAGCATGCAGGACAGGAAAGCAGGAGAAAGGGGATAAAAGCCAGGAACCTGGACAGAAAAGCAGTAAGCCCCAGGGATACAGGTGAGGAGAGACAACTCAGAGATGCCCAAAGCAGCAGGCCGGAAGAGCAGGATAAAGGGGATTAAAAGCCAGGAAGCCAGACAGAGGAACAGTCAGCCACAGGGACCCAGGTGGGGGTGATACGAGAGGTCTCCAACAGCAAGACAAACTTGTCTGTCGGTTTGTCCTACGGTGGTGAGGTGTAGACGTGAGATTTGAGGCTGAGCCTCTGGTGTTTAAAACCCAGAGAAATGCACCTGGTGCACAGGTAACAGCCCAGCTTATAGACTGAGACAGACTAGGAAGAAGGAAGAGGCTGTCCACTTCTCAAAGAATTGGCCAGGGAAAACCAGAAGACTTAGGCAATGAATAAATTAATAAAACTCTCTCTGTTTACACTTCCAACAAGCCAATTACACATGGGTTTAGCCAACAGCTTATATGAGCATAAAAGAAATAAATCTGTCTGGAAGTCACCTGTTTAGCTCGCCAGCCCAGGAAGTTGGGCTAAATCAACATATCCATAGAGTTGTTGTTGTTGTTGTTACGTACTCATAGTGACCCCTCCTTGGGTTTCCGAGGCAGTATCACTGCAGAAATAGATTGCCCCATCTTCCTTCCGAGGAGTGGCTGGTGGGTTTGAACCGCCAGCCTTCTGGTTAGCAGTCAAGTGCCTTAGGCACCAAAACAAGAGACAACGCATAGGCATAGGTCAAAGTTCTAAAAGGAAATAGTTGTTGGGTGCCACTGAGTCAATTTTGACAGAATTGCTTCATGGAATTTTCTTAACTATAATCTTTATGGAAGCAGATTACAAAGTCTTTTTCCCAAAGAGCTGCTGGGTGGTTCAAAGCATTGATCTTTTGGTTAGCAGCCAAACTGATGCCCAGTATGGTTCCTTGTACAGGTGTTAGGCTCTAAGAAATAAGAACCTAAGCACTATACCATGAATCATTCCTAGATGAAGGACAAGGGGGAATGGAAGGAAAGAGGAGAAGTTCACTGACAGGAATAAGGGAAGTGGTTCCACTGGAGAATCCATCAGGGTCTGGCTACCCCTGAGATGAAGGAATTGGTTTCAGGGAGGAAGTGAGAGGTCCTCAGAGCCAGGCCACTGGCAAAGAAGGGAAAGAACCAAATGTTATTGCCTGCCCCTGTCCACACACCCTGTGCTCAGCTGCCCACCAAAGCCACTGACAGGGAACACAGAGGTATCCAGAAAAGCTTTTATGGATCTGTACCCAAACGAGTACAGTGAAAGTTATCATCCTTCCCAAGAGGGAAGGGATCTCTTTACATTTAAAAGGGGACCCTGTGGCTTGCTCTTGGGTCTTAAGCTCTCCTCTTTCCTAGCCCAGAGCTTATCTGGCAAGTAGACACTCCCTGTCCTGAGTATAAGCTAGGTCCCAGGCCCTGGGTATCCCTCCCCTCTGCTTTTCTCTTAGGGCTAGGGCTTACAGGCAGAAAAGACCCACAACCCCAAAAGGCAGAAGGAGAAGGCAACTGATACCTGCATTGCGCCGACACATGTTCATGTCTGCCACCTGCTTCCAGTTGTTTGTTCCAGGATCGTAAACCTCAACGCTCTTCCTCACCAGGGGCCCATCATGCCCACCTGTGGCATATAGCTGTCCGCTGAGCACTCCAACCCCTGAAAAGCAGAACAGTGACCCAGCTTCAGGCTGGCTACAGTGACCAGAAATAAAGAGACTGAGCATGGAGCCCTGGTCACCAGTACCCACAGGGTGACCTGGGGAGTATCTTCCTGGACCTCAGTTTCCTCATCTGTAAAACAAATATGATGACACTATGTACCTCAAAAGAGTGCCCATCTGAACACTTTGAAAATGTAAAGCAAATATGACCCCATTTTGTTTTAAATAATATGTAAATGAATATGAGGTGGGTTTTTTGTATCAAATAAAAAGAAAAAGCCTGAAAGAAATCCATCAAAACATTAAAAATGGTTATTTCTGGATGCTTTTTTAAAAATTCCTTCTTGAATAGTTTATTTACAAGGTGATGACTCTTATTGTTGTTGTTATGTGCCGTCAAGTCGGCCCCGACTCATAGCGACCCCTCCTTGGGTTTCCGAGGCAGTATCACTATGGAAGTAGGATTGCCCAACCTTCCTTCCGAGGAGTGGCTGGTGGGTTTGAACCGCCAGCCGTCTGGTTAGCAGGCAAGTGTCTTAGCCACTATGCTACCAGAGCTCCCGATGACTCTTATTACTCAGCCTTATATTAGTTAAGTAAAAGTAGTTTAAAAAAAACCCTGAAAATAGCCTCTCAGCAGGTCTGCCGATGATAACTGAGTGAGTTATATGATGAAAACTTATAGAGTTATATGCTGATAGCTGAGTGATGATAACTGAGATCACCCTGCTTGTCTTTTAAGCAGATGCTGTTCTTTCTGCCCACTTGCTCTCCCTCTTAGACTGCAGGGTGGCATTAGACTACACTCATGATGTTGATCAGCCTGGGTTGAGGGGGAGAGATGCATCACTCACAAGTTTTAGGGTAATTTTTTTTAAAGCCTTTGATACATGCTAAGGAAATAAAAGCCAGAAAGGAGGCAGATGGCACAGTTTCCTAGAAAATGCAGCTGAGCTGTCTCTATAACTTGCCCACTAGGTGATTATTTCTTTTCCTCAGTTTCCCCATCTGTAAAGTGGGGGAGTTGGACTAGATCAGTAGTTCTCAGAGACCACTCAACCGACAAGTTGCATCTCAATCAGCTGAGGAGGTCAGGAATTTGAAAAAGCTTCCCAGGTGACTGAGATGTGCAGCCAACATTTCAGATCCAAAGGATAGATTTCTGGAACATAAACTTCATGTAGAAAAGGACCATGTCTGCCTTGTCCACTTCTGCTTCCCCATGCTTGATTAGTAGGTTCTCAACAAATACTGTTTGAATGATCAAATATGTAAAATTCCTTTCAGTAATTATACTAGTGTACATTACATACTGGGAGCTCTGGTAGCATAGTGTGGCTAAGGCACTTGACTGCTAACCAGAAGGCTGGCGGTTCAAACCCACTAGCCACTCCTCGGAAGGAAGGTTGGGCAATCTACTTCCGTAGGGATACTGCTTTGGAAACCCAAGGAGGGGTCCCTATGAGTAAGGTCCGACTCCACAGCACATAACATTACATACTAGCAGTTCCTAGCAGTTGCCCTGAGTTAACAGCAGGTGGCGGTGTTGCACCAGCAATGGTTATCTGGTACTGAACTTGGATTTTATAAAATGAAATGTGTTCCATGTCTGCCTCACTTCCCTTCCTCCAAGCTCAGCAGGAACAAGCATACCCTGAGGCACAGAAATGGCCTCTTTTTCTCCATAACCATCTGCTGGTGTTGCCCATGCACTGTTGAGGAAGCAAGAAACCTTCCAGGGCACTTGGGTACAACTGCCCCAGCAGCAACTCTGCCACTGCATTGTATAGCCTTATCCATAAGCGTAGTACCTAAGGCAGATGACTGCTAACCAGAAGGCTGGCGGTTCAAACCCACCAGCCACTCCTCGGAAGGAAGGTTGGGCAATCTACTTCCGTAGTGATACCACCTCAGAAACCCAAGGAAGGGTCACCATGAGTCTGATACAGCTTGACAGCAGTGGGTTGGGTTTATCCATAAATGTTCACCCAGAGGTTTCCTAGACCTAGGGTCACTTGGCTTTCAGGCATTTCAAAGGGCCTCAGGTGGCCAGAGGCCAGGGTCTGTGGTCTCTGGATCCTCTACCATCAACAACCCAGCTCAGGACAAGTATGTGGGTTCCCAACCCCAAAGGTAAGCCTTCCTAAATCTTAGGAGAGTGGAGCACTGCAGAAAGTCTCACCTGGGAGTTTGAAGTCAGGACTCTGAAATCTGATGGAGGAGCCCACCCCTAAGAGAGAGACCATCCCCTAAATCAGGGTCACTGTGCCTGCCAAGGATAGAGGCAGTAGAGCTGTCAACATTCAAGGCTTCCAACCTAAGTGAGAGGCAGGACCATTCCAGAGCTCTTCACCCAGCAATCATCCCCTAAGGAAGAGGCAGCTGTAGTCCCAAAGGCAGCTCCATTTACAAAGAAGAGTCTGAATTTTCAAAGGCAAATCTGTCCTCAGGGCTTTACACCAAGGTGCCTCATCACACTCCCTGCTGTTTAGGAAATTCCTAGAAGTAGCCATACTTGTCAGTGTACACTCCTGCTGGACTGTCCTACATCCTTGGGCTTTGCATATTTGTTCTCACACTTTCAAGTCACAATAGAGGATTTCTAGGAAGCACAAAGGTGGCTCTACCAAGACCTGATAAATCAAATTACTAAATGGTTGTTTTGTTATTTTGTTTTGTTTTTAATGAGCATTACTGAGAGAAGAGAACTGAGGAATTTTTAAATTGAATTGAGCTCTAAGGAACACCTCCTGCAGTCTGCTTATTTACATGAAAGGGGCAGCAAGTTGCCCAAGGTCATATGGCAAGTTAGAGCAGACCCAGGACCAAAACCTAGGTTCATTTGCTCCATGTTCAAGAAGAACCAACCTGTCAGGATCAGCAAAGACAAGCTCCCTAAAAATAACATACCAAACACATAATAAACAAAAGAAAAACAAACCCACTGCCGTCGAGTCGGATCCGACTCATAGTGACCCCTCTTTGAGTTTCTAAGATAGCATCTCTACGGAAGATTGCCCAGTTTTCCTTCTTAGGAGTGGCTGGTGGGTTTGGGCCACTGGCCTTCTGGTTAGCAGTCAAATGCCTTAGGCACTACACCACCAGAACTTCTTTAAAAAAAAAAAAAAAATCTTACTTTTCTTTTAACCTGTGAGCACACAGAGGTTCTTGGAAAATAGGATAATTTTTAAGGAATGCTAAGTAAGTGGTCATGTGTTTGGTACTATATAATGAGATCACAACTCAATCTTCGAAGGTGAAAAGAAAAAAAAAAAAGACAAAGAAATAGTATTGTGGGGAAAAGCACTCCACTGTGTGGCTTTCCTTCCCAGAAGTCATGTGGCTTCCCCAGCAGGCCCAGGTCAGTAACCAGAGTGGCTGTGCAAGTCACTCACTACTCACCACACAAGCCAGGAACAAAGACAACTCAGTGTCCCCTATCTGCCCTCTCAGACCACTTTCCTTGGGGGGAAGACAAGCAGGGAAGCAGAGCTGTTGCTCCAGTCTCTGGAAAAATCTCAAAGGACCACATAGCCCCTAGTCTTCTCACAAGAAGTAGAAATGGAAAACCATTTAGGACATCAGTCCCTTCCCATGTGGCATAGGGGGTTGAAGTGGGGAAAAGGGGTAGGGGGGCATGAGTTTATCTCCAAATATGAACACTAATAATATTCTGGCTTTCAATTCCTATACAGAAACTCCAGGTAGGCAAGCTTTAGCTTTGTTAACTAAAGCATGGGAACAGCAGTGTTTGTTCTATTATCTTATAGGAATGAGACTCTAATGGTTTTAGGGAAGGCTAGGAAAGCTAACTTTGGAGTGGAAATCTTGATTCTACCGGTTAATAATTACATCACCCTGGGCAAGATACTCAACCCCTGGTAGACAGACATTCTAATTCTGTTAAGTGGGATTAATATTGCATCTACCTTTCAGAGCTGTGGTGAGGATTAAATAAATTGAGGCACTTAACTGCTAATTAGGGCAGCGCCTGACACAAAGTACACCCTCACTTTCAGAAGTAGACATCTTCATAGAAATGGAAGGGATGGTGATGAAAGGAATATTATCTCATCCATGCTCTAGCAAAGTGATCCCTGGGAAAGGTTAATTTATAAATGCTCATTGCCCAACTGCAAAGGTACTCAAGGGATTTTACACATTAAAAAGAAAGAGGAGGAGGTGAAATAAGGTCTAATGTTAAACTGTTGTTCTCAAGACCCACCTGTGAGCAAAAAAGGACATAATCTGCAGCCTGAGGCCTCCCCCCTACCTGCGCCACTGCGGCGGGTGCTCATGTCAGCCACATATGTCCACTCATTGGTCGCTGGGTTGTACTGCTCCACGGTGCTCAGGCACTGGCGGGAAGCCCCGTCATAACCTCCAACAGCATATAGCTTCCCTGGAACAGACAAGCATCACTGATGGTGGTGCCAGAGACATTGGCATGCCACTAGAGTTAGGCTGAAACCCTATCTGTTGCCCACCAAGGCACCCTTACTTCAGAGTTCAGAATCCCTTTCCTCTGGGGAGACCACACCCCATTCCCTAACCAAGCTAAGCATTCTTCACACTTCTGCTTCTCCTCCCTCTTAAACCATGAATTCCTCAGAAGCAGCACTGAACTTCTTTATAAATAAGTACCCCAAATACCTAGCATGAAGTTACGGCCTAGCACCACAGGGCTTAGCATATTCTTGCTGATAAACTATGTTAAATCTTCTCTGTAACAAGGCATTGGATAGATAGGAAGCTGGAAGCCCAGCTACATAGACAGAGAGGCAGACTTTCTGGCTAAAGACCAAGAATGGCAGACAGAGCCAATATAAAAAATATATATATATATATATATATATTCTTCAATGAGAACTCAAACCCTGTCTTAGCCATTGTTCCTACTCATTCCTAAACTCCAGCAAGAGGGGCTTGAGAATGGAGTATTCTGTGTATACCCTGGGCTGGGGCAACTAGAATTTATCCGCAGACTCCCTGATGACCTCTGAGGCATGCACAAGAGCCCTGAAGCACCATCAACTATTTTAAAAAGAAAAATAGAAAAGCCTATATCCAACAGCCTCATTTCTGCCTGGGGCTGGGGGTAAAGTTGGGCACAGAGCTGAGGGTGGGGAAGTTGGTATTTGACTATTCCGAAGCAGAGATCGAAATGTTATGGGTTTAAAAGTATAGTCCTAGAATGCAATGGAGGGTCTCTTCTCTGTGTAGAAAGTGGCAGGAGTCCTACTTCAATTGGAACTCAGAACTATGGGGAATCTTGAAGTTGTTAACAATGATAGGCAAATCAAGGGCTCCTTAAACACTCGCTGTTGACTAAATAAACACCACCAAATACAAATTCATCTAACAGGCTTACTTAATCAACAGATTTTTTTTGTTGTTTTGTTGTTTGGTTTGGTCATTACATGCTTTCTTAACTGAGAGATACCAAGAGCACAACTAGTATGTGAGCATCTGTAATTACTTTAAGTTAGAAAGGGATCCATAAGCCCAAAATTATTATATTTAATACAGCAGTAGTCATTAGGACTACTGTTGTATTAAATATAGAACTATTTCTCCTTCTGTCATCACTGAGCCTAGTTTTGTTTCCTAATCCAGAGTCCTCTCAATTCACCTCACTGAAAGAAAGCAATACCCCCTCCCCTAGTTCCATCTAAGAGGGTAAAAAACCAACTTAGAAGCTCCTCCAGGGCACAGGCCCCTCAAGGCATGTGCTGGTTCAGTGCAACAGACTACCCGCCCTTCTGCCTGCCTCTCATCAAAGCCTAAGCCCCTCAGGAAGGAGAGAGGCCTGGGATGTGGGTGAGCCCAATAACACAAAAACCTATTCTCTGTATGTAACACACCATCACCTCTCTGTTGGGAACTTCTGCCAGACTTGGATCCTCACTGTCCTCCTAAGTAGGAATTCCTTTAGGCGGCCAACAGCAAATTATCCTTATTCATTGTTTCTCCATGTTATTCAGACTATATAGCCATGGTCAGCAGATGATGAGAGGGGAAAAAGCAAGCCACAGTGGAGATTTATATCCACAAGGCCACAGTAAAGCAGAGTCCACTTAAGTTCCTCCCTACGTATTCTACCCAGAATTGTAAATTGGACTCTCTGCTGGCCCAGGAGGACCCACATCCAAAAAGTCTTCAAATTCACAAAGGCTAAGAGAAACAAATGCCTCATCTGTCCTCCATGTCAATAGGGCACGCTATAAGACAGTACTTCTTCCACATACAGAATATGCTCACAAAAGTCTTCGTCAAGGGGAGTATTTTAAATTACTACCATTAGGGTACCTTCTCTGACCCTCATCAACCACTCCAACCCTGAGTCAGCTGGAAAATACCCACTCAAGGTTTCTCCTTGAGTCTATTAACAGGGATTTGCTATTTTTAATGCCTAGTCTATTGTCTGATATTCCTGGCTAAGAATAAGAGGGGAAATGGGAAGGTGACTAGACAAAGCATTTGTATTTGGCAGACAAATCAATTTCTGTTCCACCAAGAGTATGAAACTACAAGAAATGATATATCTTGGTAGAAGGACAAAATCCTTGCAGTCACTAAGATGACTTGTTTAGTATGTGTGAACAATATACCTTTAAATGAAAATTTAAACTACACAATACTGGTATTGACCAAGAAATAGAGCAAAAAAATCTTTCTATTACTGCATAACTCACTGCATGTTACACTCTCCCCAAAGCACACATGTGTGTATGTGTGAGTTGTGTGTGTACAGGAGTTGTGTATGTACATATCTGAATGCACAGATATTCCAGCTAAATTCCCACCTGATGGTAAATTAATGTTACCCTGAAAAGACACATTTTAGTTCAAATAATACTCTATGCTTTGGTACATTGAATTCATATATATTTATAAAATGCCTACCTGTTAGTATTTGTTAATAGTCTGAGGGAGTGTAAAACACGTTGATGTCGAGTCAATTCCGATGTATACAACTCTATAGGACAGGGTAGAACTGCCCCATAGGGTTTCCAAGGCTATAATCTTTACAAAAGCAGGCTGCCACTTCTTTCTCCCAGAGCAGCTGATGGGTTCAAACTGCCAACCTTTCAGTTAGCAGCTGAATGCTTAACCACTGCACCACCAGGGCTCTTTTTAGGGAGTTTAGCACAGTGAGAGAGTCCTGGGTGTGGAGTCAGAAGACTTGGGTTCAAACACTCATTGTGCTATTTATTATCAGGGTGTCTTGGTGTCATCACTTAATCTGTCTGAGACTTAGTTTCCCAATCTGGAGAAGGAGGAAATTCTGAATCTTGACTAGTCTTTCACAGGGATTATGGGAATAGCAAACAAGAAAAATGGGTGCAAAAGTCCTTTATAAACTACATTGCACCTTTCCCACCTAACCCCACACACCTTTCCAAACTAGAGCAGGACTCTACCACCAACCTGTGCTGCACAATACTCAGACCTGGGAAGGAGTGCCCACCTCATTCAATACTCTGTTAATGTGCAACATATGAACATGAGAACAGTATTAATTAAACACAATTAACTCTCACCCCCACTAGCTGATACTCCTAGGACGTACATTGACTCTGGATTTCCCACTCTTCTTCCCTCCCCAACCTTTAATAGAGCTATTCGCAAGTGGCCAAAAAAGCTGGCATTTCCCCATTTGGTTCTGTCTTCTCCCCTCAATGCAATTCTACTACTTATTAGCCACGGGCCCTTGGGTCAGTCATTTCTCCTCTCTGAGTCTCAATTTTTGCCATCTGTGTAATCAGGATAATACTACCTAACTCAAGAGTAGTGGCCAGAGGAATAGGGCTAAGGTAGAGAAAGCACCAATTATGGTGCTGGGCACAGGACAAGGCCCCTGGACCAGGGCGGGGACTGGCCATGGCCCACTGCTGCCTCCTTACCCTCCACAACGCCCACACCCACACTGCTCCGCCGCGTGTTCATCGGGGCCACAAAGAACCACTCGTTGGTCTTGTAGCTGTAGGCTTCCACCGATGCTAGGCCTGGGAGACAAGAGACTCATGAGCATTCTATGGCACCAAGCCTCACCCTACTATGCTGAGTAGCAGTGAGGATGGGGGAGAAGTCCAAAGCTGGAGGCTGAAAGCCTGGATGTATGGCTCAGTGCCACCACTGCTTCATTATGTAGTTCACAGCAACTCCCTTAAACATACCTCCAGTGAATCTACCTGAGGGACCTGCTAAGACTTGTCTCAGAGGGTGACTTAAAAGAAGACAGGGGAAAAACTGAATTGTTTTGTAATTGTAAACTGTTAAACCTACATGATGGAATAGTTAGATTTCAAGTGAACACTGGAAGTTGCCTCAGTGAGTATCTATTCCAGGCAGAAAGCTGAAAACTCACTCTGACTCCTTTGCAGTTAGATGCAATTGTGTCAATGTGACCTACACAGAAGTCTAATGAGAATTTCTCAAATAGCCTTTGCTTTTCTGATAGAGATGCCACCCCTACTGCTTCCAGCTACCTAGAACACAAATGTGTTGGCTGAAGCTGTAACAGCCATCTTGTGACCATAAGGAAAAGACCAAGTGAAACTTAAAGGACTTGGGCCCAACATTCTTGAGCAAATGGACCAAGGCTGCTACTGACCTCTACTTATTTCATGAAACAACAAAATCCCTAATTTGTTTAGGCCACAGTTTAGTCAGGTTTTCTACTTACAACCAAAAACAATTCCTTAAAGAAACAATGCTTCGTTACCCTTTTCTTTCTCTTTATTCCTAGGTCCTACTCTCTAGAGGTAGCCTCCAAACCAAAAATCATTGGGCTGACTCCAACTCAGCAACCCTATATGACAGAGTAGGACTGTCCCCACAGGGTTTCCAAGGCTATAAATCTTTCCAGAAGTAGGCTGTCACATATTTCTCCCATGGAAAAGCTAGTGGGTTCGAACCTGACCTTTTGGTTAGCAGCCGAGCACCTTAATCACTGTGCCACCAGGGCTTGAGGTAGCCTCAGGAGGGGCCAAATTATGAGTGAGATAGAGAGAAGAAGGCCAGAAGAGGTCATCACTTTGTGAGAATACAAATTGAATTTTCAGAGAAGTTAAAAGTATTCTTTTTCACCTTCCTGGGAACCAAAAGATACCATTTTAGTTTAATAGAGTTAAGAGATATGAGGAGAACAAGAAAATCTCTCCAAATCTATGTCCACTAACAGTTTCTGATTCAAATTTTGAAGCTAGATGAAAACTATGAGCAAGAAGAACTCTCCTGCTGTGAACAGCCTTGCAAAGAACTAGCAGGACAGCAGAAAAGTGATGAACAAAGGCTTGGTCAACACGGCCAACTATGTTCTCTGAGCCAAGACTTCCCACTGCTGAACTTCCATTCCTTCACCTGTTCAGTACAGGGTTAATACCAGAATCCTGAGATACCCTCTCAGTAAGCATGCTCTTTCTAAGTCTTGTCTTCTGAGAAAATAGGTTCCCATATACTAGAAACTAAAGAAAGGACTCTCTGAGTAGGGGACCCTTCCTAGACCCCTAGAAATGATAGCACATGGGCAGCTCTGTGTAGAAAGGCCTGGCTCTGGTACCCAAAGCTGGATGAAGAGGAAGGATGAGTAGGTTTCTGGTCAGTAGCTATAAAGTTGCATGGAGGGTATATAACAGGCTGCGCAGGGTCAGGAACATGTCTGAGACCTACCTGTACTGCCATCAAATCCTCCCACTGCATACAGCAGATCGTTGAGCACTGCTGCACCCAGCGTGCTCCGGCGCTCCTGCATACTGGCAATGGACGTCCACTGGTCCTTCACACCGTCATACACATCTACAGTCCGAACGCGCAGTGAGCCATTAAACCCGCCCACCGCATACACATGGCCAGCCATGAACACCACACCTGAGGCACAGGAAACCAAAGTACCAATGTGATCTTAGGTAGTTTGTTAACTCGTGGTGATACGTGGCAATTGTGGAGCAAGGCAGGCACACGAATAACTCATCACAGATGATAATCTCCAACTTTTACATATTTCCAGCCATCGAGAGACTCAATGGATTTCTTTTCATATTCACTTTTCTGTATGATTAGAGTAAATAACTGAATTGGTTGAGCACATAAGCACTGACCCTAGAAGGGGCAGCAAAAAACTTTGCAAGTGGCCAAGGGGAAGGGAGACTGTATATACAGATGTTTGAGGAAACAAAGCGGAGCGTATGACGTCGGACACCAAGCAGAGAAAAGCTGGGGGGTGGGGATAGGCAGCCCGCAGAACTGGGAAACAGTGCTGCTTACCTGCTCGGCATCTCCTGGAAGGAAGCTCAGCAATCTGATCCCACCGGTCCTCCTCGAAATCATAGCACTCCACACTGCGGATTGCCTTGGGCGCCTGGCCGCCGACCACAATCATGACCTCCAGGAAAACAAGCAGACATTAGGTGAGTCTTCCCAACACATGGATTAATGGGTGGCCAGACTCTGGTACTTCCCCATGCTTATTGCCAGGGTCTGTGGGTGATCTGAGATGTCAGTTTACAGAGTTGAATACATGGAGATGCTGCCCCTAATTACCAACAAGTATGAATTGTCAAGATAAGTCTAACTAGCATCTTCCAAAAAGACCTCTTTAAAGTGTTAAAGAGCAAAGATGTCTATGAAGACAAAGGTACACTTGATCCAAGCCATGGTATTTTCAATCACCTCACATGTGTCCAAAAGCTGGACAATGACTAAAGAAGATTGAAGAAGAACTGATGCCTTTGAAATATGTTGTTGGCAAAGAATATTGAATATACCATGGACCGCCAAAAGAATGATCAAATCTGTCTTTGAAGGATAGTCGGATCGCTCCTTGGAGGTGTGGAGGGTAAGATTTTGTCTCTTGTACTCTGGTCATGTTGTCAGGAGGGACCAGTCCCTAGAGAAGGACATCATGCTTGGTAAGGTAGAGGGTCAGAGAAAAAAGAGGAAAACCCTTAACAAGATCAATTGGCACAGTGGCTGCAACAATGGACTCAAACATGGTAATGATTATGAGGATGGTACAGGACCAGGCAGTGTTTCATTCTGAGTCAGAACCGACTCTATGGCCCCTAACAACAAAAACAACAGCATCACCCCACAGAAAGACAATCATACAGTCTGTGTTTCCCAAACTGCCCTTGTCAGCATTATGTTGCAGGTACATGAAGCTACTCAGGGCATCTTCTGCAATCTCAAAGCCCATGGTTACCTTATATCAAACAAATGTGAATGTATTTTGAAGTACAGTGTAAAATTTGGATGCATTTTTAACATAAAAAAATTACTTGAAAAACAGTTCTGAATGTCTAGACCATAAGAAGCACTAACTCATTGCAGAAAAAAAAAAAAAACAACTTGTGAACAGCAGTCTGAAAAACATAATTAACTTATGATGTTCTGGAAAATAGTACTAAGGGTAGTACTATTTCCACAAGTAAAGCCGTAACTACCATGGCCAGGTACTGTGTAAAGCATGTTACTGACACTACCTCAGGTGCTTGTCACCACAACTGTGTGAGGTAGATACAGTGAAATCTGTAAGAGCTGGAATGCAACAGGACTACCTTGCTTTCCTGGGTCTCACAAGTTTTCTGCATTTGACGAGGTGCAGTCTTACTACTTTTCTATTGCTCTCTATTCCTGGAAAATATTTGCGTTTTCCTTTTCTGACAGGTTTCCACTTTACACAGGTACTAGCTTTCACAGGTTTTACTGTATTATCATCCCCACTGACAGAGGAGGAAAGCCCAGAGAATGTACATATAAATTGTCCAAGGTCACACAGCTAAGAGTGGCAGAACAGGAACTATAACCCAAATCTACCTGACACAGAGGTAAGGCTAGCCTCACTCTTTTCCTGTTCTAGGGACAGTGTCCATGCAAAGACAGCTCTCAACATCTATGTTTTTCAAACTGCAGGTCATATTCCACTAGCAGATCATAAGGTTAATTTAATGGATTGCAACCAAACCAAAAAACCAAACTCACTGCACCCTGTCAAATGCAGAAAACTTGCAAGACCCAGAAAAACAAGGTAGTCCTGTTGCGATTCTGACTCACAGCGACCCACTTTGGGTTTCCTAGGCAGTATATCTTTACAGAAGTAGATTGCCTAGTCTTCCTTCCGCGGAATGCCTGGTGGATTTGAACCACCAACCTTCTGGTTAGCAGTCAAATGCCTTAAGTACTATGCCACCAGAGCACCTTATACAACCAGCATACTTTTAATAGAACAACACAGAAAATGTCATAGTTAGGGTGTTATTTCACAAAATATTTGTTTTGGTTATTCACACATGCAATCTACTTACATAGTGATACCACCTCAGAAACCCAAGGAGGGGTCACTACGCATCAGATCCAACTCAATGGCAGTGTTTGGTTTTTAGTTTTTTTTGACGTGTAGTCTGAGTAGCAGCTATATATATATTTGTTGTTATGTGCTGTCGAGTCAGACCTGATTCATAGCAACCCCTCCGTGGGTTTCCAAAGTGGTATCAATACGGAAGTAGATTGCCCAACCTTCCTTCTGAGGAGTGGCTGGGTTTGAATTGCCAGCCTTCTGGTTAGCAGTCAAGTGCCTTAGGCACTGCACTACCAGAGTTCCTTATATACAGAAGAACAAACAAATCTGTCCTGGAAGAAGGGCAGCCAGAATGATCCGTGGAAGTGAGAATGGCCACGTTTTGTTTCACCTACTTCGGTCATGTTGTCAGGAGAGAACAGTCCCTGGAGAAGAATACCATACTTGGTAAAGCAAAGGGTCGGTGAAGAAGAGGAAGATCCTCACCAAGACTGACTGACCTAGTGGCTGCAATACTGGGCTCGAGCATAGCCAAGATTGTGAGGATGATGCAGGACCGGGCAGTGTTTCCTTCTGTTGGACATAGGGTTGCTGCCAACTTGATGACACCGAACAACTATAACAACATACAGAGATTGTGGGATGTGGCCAAAATAAAATTGAAAGCCACTGTTCTAGCTACATTAGTTGTACTGCGTTTCAATGGTGGTGTCCCCACTGTTGTGACTTTTGTCACAAGTTATCTGATAGTAATAAATATTAAAGTGCTAATGTTAACAATAGTTTACATATTTTAATAAATTCATGCAAACTCATGGCTGTCCTGATAATGAATCATTCTCACTTACTGGCATTCCAACATGTTTTTTTGAGTGGAAAAAAAGGAGTGGAAATGACAGCCAGCCAGTATCCCTCAGATTTTCTCACTACCTGTAGCCTGATTTACGCTAGTGGTTCCCAAAGTTTAGTGTGCAGCAGAATCAACTGCAAATCTTGTTAAAAAGCACATTCCTGATCCAGTAGGTCTGAGTAAGGAGCCCTGGTGGCACAGTGGTTAAGTTCTCAGCTATTAATTGAAAGATCGGTGGTTCGAAACTACCAGGTGCTGTACAGGACAAAGATGTGGCAGTCTGTGTCTGCAAAGACTTACAATGCCTTGGAAATCCTCCAGGCAGTTCTATTCTGCTCTATAAGGACAGTGTGCCGATCAACTCTGTGGCATGGGTTTGGGTGGGAGGTCTGGAATGGAGCTGGAGTATCTGCACTTCTAACAAGTTATCACAAGCTGACGCTAATGCTCTTCTGAGATTTATACTTGAAGAACTCCTATCTTAACCCATGGTGTGTAGAAATTTCTTTATGTATCATCCACAGTTTTTGTCATTTTGAATTATTATGGTGCTCTTTTATTCCCACGCAACATGATTTTTGAGAGAAGGGTGATCATCAAAATCTAAGTGAGCTGACAGGAGCACATTTCTAGTGTGAATATTATCCACCATATGGGAAGGCAAAACCAGGGCTCGAGATCAATTATGTATCCCCGAGGTGTCCAGATTCAGGCTCAACCACTGCCCAAATGCCCAAATGCGTGATCACTGGTCATCAGTTAATGCACAGCTGTCTTTGGACAAATGTGAGTGACCAGTGTTCAAACACTCAAAATTCAGTTCTGACTCCTGGAGGATTTCAAAGGAACCCAGGACACAGCATACAGGCTTACAGCTGCTGCTGCTACTTCTGGAGAAAAACAATCTGCATTTGAGCTTCCTAAATGCATCAGTTCAGAAGGTCCAGTACTCTGTGTGCCTTTTTCAGAGAAGGTATAAAGAACAGCTGAATTCTACATTATATCCCATCTGTAGTTCTCTGCTTAGCTAAACATCCCTGAACTGTTCAAGGAGATGTTAATGAACACAGCCTCTTGTTGACTTCAGACAATGCCCAGCTTACTCCCACAAGGCAGTGGCATAGTGCCTAAGGCACATGACTGCTAACCAGAAGGCTGGTGGTTCAAACTAACCAGCCACTCTTTGGAAGGAAGGTTGGGCAATCTACTTCCATAGTGATACCGTCTTGGAAACCCAAAGAGGGGTTGCTATGAGTTGGATCCGACTCGACAGCAGTGAGTTTGGTTTGTTTGGTTTTATGTATGTTCATAAACTCATCTAGAACCTGCACTGTTCTAGTTTTGAGCTGATAAAACTAGACCAAAGGCAAAATATTGCAAGGATTTTCTCTAAAATCTGATTCTTAGAACTGCACGAGAATACCAGTGTGGTATAGTAATATGGCTTTTCTAGCCATAGGTTTTTGTAAACTTCATGGGAGAATTTGCCATGAGCAACTGAGTAGCTCCTGATTGTTAAAGTTATCCACCTGGGGTATTTCTGTTGAGAGTGGCATAAAGCAATCTTCTGGGAAGTTCTCTCTCTCTCAGGTGTATAGAATTCTGATGTTGGGATTGGTTAGTTTGGCCACTCTGCCAGGCTCAAAAGGAGCCCTTCTAGAGACAGACGAAGTATCTTTCACTGCAGTTGAGAGACACAAGAGACACGCACTGCTGAGAGAGACACACACGACTGAGAGACTGTCGGCTGAGAGACTGTCGGCTGAGAGAGACTGAGTGCATTTCTGAACTTGAATTGTAGCCTGGTGCTTCCCTAATAAACCCCATAATCTGTGAGTTCTATGTGGCCACTGCAGAGAATTATCGAACCCAGCAGAGAGGTGTGGGTGCTGTAGGAGGAATGGTTGGTGAAAGGGTTGGAGAAAGCAAGCATGTCTGGCCTCACAGGAATAGGCCCTGGGCTACTGATGGTGATTCTGTCTTCCTCTTGTGGAGTCAGAGGTCTGGCAATGCAGCCTCCCTGACCCTTCGGCAACCAGTTTTAACTTTTCTTTCTGCAACTTCTTCAGGCCTTCACACATGCTATTCCCTCTACATGGAACACTCTTCTCCCCACTTTCAGAGCCCTCTGCTTTAACACCTACTTATCTTTCAGGTCTCAGTTCACATGTCACTTTCTCCAAGAAGAATTCTCTGACCTCCAAGTCTGTGTGCCTCCTCTGGGCTCCTGCATACC